GAATACAAAAAGAAGGGACTGGAGGAGGGAGGAGAAACAGGAATGTCCTGGGCTTGGACAACAACCTGTGTGTATGTAACATTCTATTAGTGAAGGCTGTTATTTCAGAAATAACCAGATGGATAACGACTAAGCTTCAAGAGAGCTTTAATATTAACCCATGGTTTTCAACATCAAGTCCTAAATTGCTGCAATAAAGACAGCTGCAAGTTAAAAGCTGCAACCAAAGAGAGTCCTTTTTGTCTTGTAATGTTCCTGTTTCTTCTTACAGGAGTCTAAATCTCGATCGATCTGATTATATGAGTGGCAGTGAAGAAGACATGCTGTTCATGGTGCTGCACCTCCTTATTTTTCCCTCTTATTGGGACCACAGGAGAGCACGCAAGTCTACCTGGGAGGAAAAGCCCGCTCTGGCAATAAAAAGACTTTCTGTCAAACTATGAGGCCAGGAGAACTGTTTCAGGACTTATTTTCATGGCCTAAAGAGTGATATTCAAAATGTTTAGTGTATAATAATGTAGTAAGTACTGCACACCTGCTGCAGTCTGTGCAGCTGATGCAGCCACTAGTGCCAGTAGAGAGCCTAAAACCACCACTGGTCAGGAAAGGCTCTTCCTAAAAGTCAATAGTTTTAGTTGAAGAAAATGATAAAACATAATGGGGAACTGAAAACTAGCTATGCAGAGCTGTCAGCTGCACTAACTCCTTTTTTTCTGTCTTATTCTCTTCAGTCACTCTTCGATGGCCATTTTAAAGGACTGTTGCTAGTCTCTTCTCAGGCTGCAGTTGATTATTTTAGGCTTGCTATAAAAGGATAATTTTGAATTAATATTAATTTGACCTTCTTAAATTTGACCACACAAGAAATGAATGTGTGCCACAAGTCCTGAGCATATTCTAATAAGTCTACTAACTAGAGAAGCATCAGGTTTCAAATAAATCTCACTAGGATATGAAGAAATAAAACAGCTTTATAGTGAAAAAGAGGAATTTAACAAGTGACCCTTTCCACAGTTCCTTTAACCCTTTTTTAAAAGGCAAGATATCAGCACAGGAGTTCCTCAGAAACAGAAGAAGATTCAGGGGAAAAAAAAAGGTCCTACAGGAGCCTGCTTCAACTGAGGAAGATTCAGGATGAGATCTTATCTTGCTTCAGTTTGAAAATTTTAAACTTAAATAGTAGTAAATGACTCCATTAGAAATAGAAGCACAGGTCTTCTTATATATACACATTTTACATGGGAGACAACTAGAATTCTGCATTTGAATGATGGCAATGAAAAAGAAAGGAGGCTACGCTTGCTCTAACTAGTCAGCAGTGCTCAACTAAGACCAAGGAGGACTAAAAACAAGTGCCACAAATTAACAGCGTCTTCATTGAAGTACTTTGATTTCTGGTACTTGGAGTGTATGTGCAGTAGGAGAGATACACAATGCAGGTGAATGTTGAAAAAATACAAGTTGCAGAACAGTGATAATCAGTCACTCATCCTCCAATTATCAACACATTTTACTTCCAAAAATAATAGCGCAAAGGATACAATTTCACTACTAAATACATGCCAAGTGTGCCATCATTTATCAAACATCATAGTGCAATAGCAACTGACTGATAGAAATTTTCAAAACCAGAATAATGCAAAGGTAAGGCAGGAGAGGAGTCAGTTCAGATAATTTGTTACTTTCTGACTATGTCTGTTTTAAAAAACCAAACTGTGTGTGGCAATGCTGCCAGGCACTAGTTATGCAGTTCAATCATTAAAATAGCTCTTAGCACAGTTTTGGCACACGCCAACTAGGCACTTTCCAAAACAACTCAAAGTAGTTACAAAGTTGACACAGACCAGGAATCCCTTCCTGCCTGCACAGGGCCATTCCATATGGAACGTAAGGCAGTTAAATTCTATGGATGCAGGTGTTTTATGCCTCGGGTCACGATGCTCAAAAACAATCATAAACATGTTTAATTTATTAGAATAGGCATCTATTAGAGTAGGCACTGCCTCTCCTTGCAAGTACCACAGATCTACTAAATTTCTTCTCTGTATGTTATCTAAGAGCAGGTGATTTTCTGCTGAGTAGCGTTTCTTGTAAACAGAGAGTATGGGGATACACTTGGCACATCTTGCTTACATATGATAACCTGAAGACAGCTTTTCATACACAGTTCTGAGTAAAATGAAAAGCAACCACACGCCCAGCCTCAACATCTTACAGCGGTTCTTCCAATTTCAACACAATCAACAGGCACATTTATGTTAGCATTCAGAAAGAAAAGAAAAAAAAGAAATCCAAACACCCACTCACAGTGTAAACAAATGCAAAGTCTTTATGGGAACTTATAAAAGTTATAAATGAAAGCTAGGGTGCAACAGTTGAAATTTCATTTATGTTAAACAACCTCTCTTAAAGCTGCCTTCACACCAGAGGGCTGTGAAGTGTCTAAAGCAACATCTATTTTTAGAGAAGGTGCTCAAGAGCCATAGAAATACAAATCACTAAAGACTCATCTCTGCTCTGTGCAAACTGTGGAAAACTAACAAAGGACATGCAGGTCCTTTCAAAGAGCCAACCTGCTTGTTGTAGACAAACATTCATGGCCACAAAAATTCATCTGGATTTCTGAGAAGGCTTTCAACAAGCTCTCTTATCAATTGCTCTTATGGAGTCTGAGAAGTAATGGGATATGAGAGAAATTATTCTGGTAAAGACAGAGACCAGTTGCAAGGAACTGCATAACTTTAATTAATTATCATGTGATTTGCTTGCAAAAAGGCAGATGAAACAAGAAGAGATTCTCAGAGTTTAAAAAACCCTCTTAAAGTCACATGGGCTTTAAGCTGATCTTTACTACTCAGGAACATAATCTTGAAATGATGGAAACATCAATTCAGAGCTCAGTAGAGGCTAAAAAAGTCAACCATGCATTGGGATTTATCAAGAAAAGAAGAGAGGGCATTCTTGTGCTGACATATAGTCCAAGGGTGTCCCTGAATGCTATTTGTAATTCTGTCCCCCTGACAAAAAGGATAACAGAAATGGAAGAAAAGTGCAGAAAAGCACAATGAAGACATAAAAACTATGGAGAACTTCTATTTTAGGAACAATTAAGTAGTCATGAACTAAACGGGACAGGATAGAAGCTTGTTGAAGAATATTAATAGAGAATGATTGCTCAGTATCTCTTCCAATGTAAAAAAAATGTAGGAAGAGATTAAGAAACTATTATATAAGCAGTAAACAAACAGAAGACTGTTCACAAAGTACATGGTTCAGCTGTGGATATCTGGGCTACAGGATGTTGTAAATAGCAAAAGTTTTTAAGAACAAAAGCAATGAGGCAAATTCACTGACAGTCCACTTAGAACAGCTTGGGATGGGGGTGGGGAGGAAGGTTCAACTGGAAGCTGCTGGGAAAGTACACCAGAGGAAGTACCTTGCAAGCTTGTCCTGCTTTTATACACTACCCAAGGTCATGTTTCTCCTGGCTGCATGCCTTCAGAGAACAGATACTGGGCTAGATGTACTTATGGATTGACTTTGTGTTCTACCCATTGCAAACTATTTTACACAGAGACATGCAGTACTTGTATTATATTACCCAATGGCATAAGCTATGGTGAGCTCATCAAATTCTCTTTTCCACTCTCTGCATTGTCTTCCCACAGAACAGCAAATCAAGTCCAAGATTCTGGACACATGAAAAACTGAATCCAAGATATTTAAAGTACTATTTATAGCCTTTTCAAAAAAATCAACTCTTCTGGTTTGGGAATCTGATGAATTACGGAGTAAGAGAAAAAACTAGTCTCAGACCGCAGAATTATTTCTCACAGAAATAAAAGCCAGTCAAAAACCTGTTTCCTTCCACTCCACAAGCAATTTTCTTTGCCTTCCTCTTCTTGAATATAAACAGACAGGCAAATTCAGATGTCAAACACCAAAAGATAGTAAATTTTATGTAAAGTTCTCTCACAAAGAACAGGAGGAAGAAACGAAACACAAATCACACTAATCTACTGTGTCATAGCAATGGTTTCTCAATTAATATCTTTGAAGCACTGACAGTCTACACAGATACACAAAGTAGCACTAGCTATGGTAAAAGAAGCATTTTACGCTTCTCAGTTCATGACCTAACCTGGCACGAATTCCATACAGCTCCACTTCATGTTCATAAGAAGGTCTGAAGATATTTCATACCTGTAGAAAAGGTATCTATCTCTAGGCAGAGAATAAAACCCTGCATCTTCCCCTTTTCAACTTTACATTACTGTTTCTTCAGTGTCAGGGTGTAATACAATAGTGTACTAATGGAAAAGCTTTCAAATGACATCAGATATATAATAATTCCTAGCGGTCTGTTTAGAGGAATAAAACCTTAAATGTACAGACTTTTATTCTGCAAATGGATTGTCTGTAAATCATGTAGAGACACTGATTATACTGCCAACAAATTAAATAAATTGTATACTCTACTCTAACAAAACAATATAAACATTTGCCTGAGACAGGTCAATGGCAAGTCAACAGATTTCAGATCCATTTTATTCATATGGATATCAACTAATGTTTATTTGAAATTATAATGATCAATTACTTGTGCTGATTTAAAGGGAAACCCCAGCAAGCTTATCTACTTCTAAACAGAACTGGTATAATGAAGTTCTAACAGTTACCTCCTTGACCAAGACAGTATTTTTCCCTACTTGAAAGAAAACACCAATTCCCAGAAAACACAAAGCATGATAACCCTGCTGTAAGGAAAAGCATTTCTAGAAGTATTCGGATATACTACTATATACTTTAATATAACTCAAATCAGGAAAAAAATAAGTTATTAAAAACTATGAACAAACAGTAATAAACTTAGAAAAGATGGTAGGATCAAAATAATTTGGTTGTAATTTGAGGGAAAATAGCTTTTTTTTTTAAATTTCAGACTAACTATAAAAAAATTAGGTATTAAATAACCAATGTATTAAAAATAATATACCTACTTGCCAGTGATGGTCCTCCAAAGCTTTGCACCTGCAATTGTAGGAACGTAAGATGAAACACCATGCAGTAAACCAGAAAGAATATTTTTTTTTTCTTTATTCTTAAAGAATGTTCAAAATTGAGACAAAATTACTATGGAAATGTCTGTATTAGTCAAACAGGAAGGGTATCTTAACTTACAGTAACAGTTATTGAATTGCTTTCTGTAAACTTAATATACCAGTAAAAAACATAAAATGGAAAAATCAGTATCTTCTATGGCTACATTTCCACGTGGAAGGATGTCATGAAGAAGATAACCAGCATAACTTATGCTTTACATCTACACACTGTCAACATCTACCACTTTCTACATTCCTTATGAATCTGTAATAGTCTTGCCATCTAGTGGTTGGCTGGAAGTGTGAAGCAGCTACACAGAAGTGTTACTTTGGGAAGAACTTTTTTCTGCTTTTTGGAGTGGCGCTTCATTGATTTCAAGTCACTAACACTTCTACTGTGTTACTTCAAGAACCTGATTGTTCTTCAACTCTGTGTATCATGACATCAAAGATAAAGATTATTACTAAAGATTATTGTTACAGTAAATAATCATTCTGTAAGCTGGGAAATACAGGTCTTCCTAGCCTCATTTCTATAATGAATGGTTAAATAATCACACAGACACGAGAGCGGTGCATCTTGAATTGGGTCAATACAAAAATATTAATTACAGGTAAGAGTGAATTTACCTAAATCATTACCTTCCCACTACTGAGGTAATCAATGTTTGTGGTGATTTATGCAACGCAGAGCCTAAAAAATTAATTTCTGCTAAGCTTTACAATTTGGCCTCTGAGCTTGTAATGGTCAAGCAGGAAACAAAATGGTAACCAAGACTCCCAGAAAAGGCAATGAGAATAAATCATGCTTCAGAAAAGGCTGCAAATAATTGCCATAACTTCGCAGGGAACAACAGGCTTTGGAAGTCAGAAATGACGTGTTAGTACATCAAAGAGGAATGCCACGCTTCTCTGACACCTATTTCCTGCTTTTGTACTACGTTCAGATGATTTTTCAAACACTTTGCATGGGATTCAACATTGAACAAAAGGCAAAATAGGACACTTGAAAAAAATCTTCCTAAGAATGAAAATTACAGACTTGTGATGAACATTTTCTCAAAGAATTTGCAAGATGGTAATGAAATACAGGACAGGAATTAAAAAAAACCAAACAACCTCTAAACACCAGCCCAGCCAACAAATGCAAAATCACTTTCAAAACTGGTTGTATCCACGTAAAACTTTATACACATTGGAAACTAAATGCTGCATAAAGTAGAAAAAAGTACTGCTCACTTCTTATTTCAACTGTGCTAAAACAGGTAATTTCTCTATCTGTTTACAAATGTGACCAATTTATATTGGATGTCCCAAACTTTCCAACAGTGTTATAATTAGAATAATGCCAGAAGAAGTATGAATGTTTAGGAAAACTCTGTAATTTAGAAAATAATTCATTTTCAGACCTAGCAGTTAAGAAACAAGAATGATTGTTCAGTGATACCAACTATACTCATCCAAATGCTAAAAGAAATCTGCTAATGCCCTTCCTACAAAATACAGCAAAACTTCATTGAAAATGGTAATAGACCATCATAGACCTATTATCCCTCTCTAAAATTAGCTAATACTTTTAGAATAATCATAATATCGACCTGGCTTTAGTAATGAAATAACATGCTCCAAATTGCAGGTGTTTAAGCATGGAACTCTATCAGTACACTGTCTTACCTTTTATCCTTGAGAACACCAAATCCTTCATGATCTGAAGAATTAGCACTCCAAGTATTATGAGAGAAGTTAGATGATACACTCTCCAAGAGGTCAGTGCAAGAAACCTAGAATGTCAAGAAGAAATAAATGTTGAATACTTTTAAACTTACTGGCAGCATATGAAAACTCACAGCTGCTGCTACTAATACTGAAAAAAATAAACTGAGATTACATTAATTGAATTTAGTTTTTCCCCACAACCTTTCCGTGGGAAGCAAACAGTGAGAGCTTGAAGCATGACATAGTCTCATTTAAAGATAACAATGATCAAACATACATTAAGTTTGTAGTACACTTTTATTTAAGCACAGAGCATATAAAACAAAATATTTTAATTATTGCATAGAAAACATTACTTTTAAATTAATTATGGTTTTATTAGCATAAATTGCCTTGGCACAATGCACACAAAAAAGGTTAAACATTTTCTTGTGTTTCCTACAGAGCCTGTGTTCCAGCACGATTTCTATACAAATCATTCTTTCAAATACAAAGATGAGGTAAATCTGTATCATGGCATCATATTCAAAACTGTCTTCATAACAAGCTTTTGTGAATTTTGTTTTTCATTACATAATTTTTTAGAACACGTCTAGCCAAGTCAAACAGACCTACACTCAGAACATATGAGTTATAATCTCATGCACTGTTGACTTTACTGTCCAGGTGTGCTTGGAGATTAGCTCTTCTATCTGTTTTACTGGCAAATATCTTAACTCACAAAAAAAAAGGGTGTGACAGAAAAAGAATTAAAATTCAATTAAATACATAAAATAAGTGGAAGTATTTATTAGCTTGTTTTAAGCACTTTAAATCAGAAATCTGAATAGAGATAATGAAAAAATTCTTATTTTTTTAAAGAAAAAGCAATTAACTTAAAAAGTTGAGGATAGCCAAAATCAGTAAGAAGCCACTGTTCAAGGAACTAGATCAAATGAGAATACCAACAGAAACAAAATCATACGAAGCTGGGACGTTTCCAAGAAACTTCTCAGATTTGAAAACAGGGCAACTGGCCACCCAATGAGTTGCTGCTGCAGAGATTTTCTGGATGAAAGAGGGGGAAGGGAAGAGAAAAGGAGTAGCAAGCATGGCCAATGGAGGAAGCCAAGAGAGACCCTTTGAGGATACTTGGATTTTTAAAAAGAAAATTGACTTCCCTGCCGCGGTCCGAAAAAGGGGGGGAGGACCGTGGCACAAAACGACTCCGGGACACAAATGCGGGATGCAGGTAGAATCCCCTATACACGCGTCCACACCGTCTTTTGTCAGCTCGGGAGGGGAAAGGGCCAGAACATAGGGTGGAGCATGAGACAGACAAGCAGGGGGACAAACCAGGATAGGGACACGGGCAAAAGGGGGAGGAACGTGGGAGGAACCGGGGAGAGAAGGGACGAATGGAGGCTGTCCCCTCTCTGCAGCCTCCCCAGCCAATCGGCAGAGAAACAGAGGAGCAGGGAGGTGAACACGCCCGGGAAATACAAACCCTGGGGAAGCATACAATGTGTACACACGTAACAACTGTTAAGTCTGCATCATAAAGTCCTTTCAATCACTGTACATCTTTTTCCACTTCTGAGATTTTCCCCATTCTGATTCCTGGTCCTTCACACTTCCCAATGTTTCTAACAAGCTCAGGACACACTGCTGTTGTAGAAAATTGTTCCAGTATGCCTCGCAATCCTCAAAAAGCAAGGTTGCATTTAAAAAAAAAAAAAAAAAAGAGTCCATGCCACTAATTTTCACATTTGACAGAAATCCATATTTGCCCTGAGCAGATCAGGATGTGATTTCCAATAAACGCAAACACGCAAGCTCACTCTTAAAGTTTTACCTAAATATAAAGGGTTTCTACATCTGTGGAGAATTCAAATTATAGGACTATTCTATGAAAAAACCCCTGCACCCCTGTATAATTTCAGCCAGTTCAAGAAAACTAAGAGAACTATAGAGAAAAATTATTGCAAGGTAAGCTCTTTCAAAGCTGCCCAATCACAGCTCATTAAATCAAAATTCCTAATAGCTTTGCATCCTGTTGTTGTACTATTTTTCTAGGTAATATTATTCAGCATTAAAAATCCTTGATTTTAAGTTCAACTGCACAGAAGACTCTGTTTAGCCTACCTAACTTATTGATAATGGGCTGAGGCAATAGATGGGACACTGTACGGGAAAAATCAAGTGAAGAATTTTTCATCCAACTCCTAGGCAGCAGAAGTTTATAACAAATGCAGGCCTTTAAATTATTTAGGCTTAATACCATACCTATTCTATAAGTTTTTCATGGTGCTTGTGCATGAATGTTCTATAGAATCACATAGTATGCCCTGACTGAACAATTACCACTGGCCAGTCCTCGATGGTCTCAAAGAAAGACATCAGTACCAAAATGTTACGTGTGTGTGCATGTATGTGTGTATGTACACACACGATTTACTAGCTTTTCAAAGTAAGATCAGATGTTTACGAAGAAGGCTTAGTCTATCTTTCAAAGAACGCACAGAACACGTTTGACCTATTTTATGCTCACAACTAAACGGCAGTGCTAGTTTCACTGCAATCACAGCTGTCACCTGCTGTTAAAAACAATTGCACTAATGCGGACAAGGATTAGCAAACAAGGATTAACAAGGTAGCATCCTCTCTGAAAGATGCTTCCAAGTCATGTCATTCTATGTTCTTGATACTGCAGTCTTTCTGCTCCATAGCTTTTAAGGAAAAAACCTGTAATCTAGTTGGAGCAGCTATTGCAGTCACCGAACAAGGGCTCTTCACTTGTTTGGAGAGCTTTGAATTATTCTGATTGGACTTCCCATGCCTCAGCATTATTGGTTGTCAGTCCTTTCTCCCCTGCTTCAGTACTCTTCACCTAGACTCTGATGTTTGCAAGAAAGACCATCTCTTACGAATTTATTCACAGCCAGCGTGTGCCAGCCCTCAGGTGCCACAGAAATACAGATTAGAAAAACTTTTTGCATGTCAGATCTATGTCCTTGAAGCCCTTCCTGGTGAAAAGCTGATAAGATCCCCTTGTACTTTTTTTGGCATGTCTATCATAACCTTTTCAAAAGGTTAGTCCAACATGCTGGGATCTGAAAAACACTTGTTTTGCTACCAGTGTCAGGATTCAAAATTCTTCTAGGAATTATCAACATGACGCATAGCAACGAGACTAACAAAAGGTTTCACTGGTACTTTTGCTTATTATTAAGAGCTAGGGCATTTTTTCCTCTTTTTTTTTTTAAGAAAAAGAACAGACTTTACTCTTAAGTACTTCTAACACACCCACACCCACCTGATAAACTGAAAGGCTCCAGAATGACATCTTTTTTTACTTCACAAAAATACTTCTGTTTTGTAGAAGAATCAATAGCTATGCTTACTCAACATCGCCTGTTTTTAAGCAATAACCAAAACAGACTCAAGTTCAAGTTAAGTTCTTCTGCAAGTGATGTGGAAGTAAAAACCATTACAAGACACATAACCAAGATTTGTTCCTTTGTTCCCCCATGGAATTCTGCAGTATTTTTGAGGTTTTAGTGGGTTTTTTTGGTTTGTTTTGGTTTTGCCTTTTTTTTTTTTTTTAAGAAGGAGAGGGTTAAAACAATGTCTAAAATTATCCATTTCAGATAATTACTTCAGCAGTTAACAGGGCAGCTGGCATGGCAAGGGGGCAGGAAACTCTGCTGAAGGCAGTGCAGAACTGCAAAAAAATGGTCCTGAGGTGGCACAGGACTCAGTTCCCAGCATTGGCTGAAACAGGCACTCCCCGCATAGAAAAGGCCTTCACTCAGATGCAGCTCCAGAGGTGGGATACAGCCACCTGGCTTTGAGGCTGCAAGAAAAGACTCTCCCCTGGACTGACGGCAAAAGTGGCCTCACTGTGAAGGGTGTCCTCTGGTTAACATACAGAGCAGTCCAGTGAGAGAGCTACTGGAGGCACTAAGCAGGTGGCAGACCCCTATGGAGTATGACTTGCAAAAACTTTATTGTGTAAGAACCTAAGCAACGTGTTCTAACTGGACCTCGTTTGATCAAGTCAGACTAGCTGACCTGCTGTTGTCCTTCCAACCTATGTTCTTCTATGTCAAAAGAATATAAGCATGATGGAGCCAAGTCCACTACTCAACTCCACTGTGGAAGACTGAAAAACCAGTTTTGGGAAATGAAACAGAAGAGCTATCAACTATTGGCTGTTAGAATAATTAAGCAGTGGTTACCCACAGAGGTCGTGGAATTTTCAACCTTGAAGGCTAAGACAAAACACTGAGCAATCTGATCTGAATTAATATTGATTTTATTTGGGGCTGGTAGTCATACTAGAGACCTCCTAAAGTCCCTACCAACCTGAATGATATCTTCATTCTATGACTATTTTAGTCTTAGAAGTGGCTGGCAAATCCTTTTCCGTAAGACCTTAGAACTTGGAGGTATAACAGTTTCTGTTTCTGTGCCTAGTTATACTGCAGCTGGACAGAAGTGATTCTATTAAGAGTCAAAACTTGAAAACTTCCACACTTAAAAGTGGAATTTCATTGACTGTATAATGGTGGACTCTTTCTATTGTGGTTTTAAAATAATACATGTATTGAGATTTTCTGGGAAAAAAACCCCAAACAACCCACAGCCATTATGAAATTACACTGCAAACTACTCTACCCTCTCTTCAGCATTTCAGTCACTTTCATTTCTTCCTATCTATAAAGTAGTACAAAATAATTTTCTTAAATTACATAATTCAACTTCTTAGCAAGTTATGCTTCCTTATTTTTAATGTCACACAAATAAATATGCCTTGCCATTAACCTCTACTGCCTATTCAGAAGTAGCTAAATTCAAATGTAACTCTTTCAGTATTTTGCCAACTTCCATATTTTTCTAAAATGTTGTTTAAGTTCAAGAATCATGCTCTAAGAGCAAAAAAAGTAATATCCTTTTGACCAGCTTCCCATAGCTAGGAAGTTTGGATGGAAAGAAAAAATGGGACAGAACATACAAATGAAATCCCAATGCAAAAGCAAGACTGTACATAGCAGAAGAGCACCACAGGCCTCATCTGGTTAGA